CTCATGGTAACACGAGTGCCCACCATTGCTTCCAGGTCGTTGAGTAGTTCACCCTTTCCTATCAATGTACTTTCCATTGATTAGGGTGCCTTGCCTTTATGCAATCAATTCATAGAACTCATATTATATAGTTGACTTCATCTGGAATGGCGCAGAAACAAAATTATATCAACACGATAGGTCGCCAACCTCAAGTCGTGTGCTAGTGATTAACTATCGGTTTATTCTTGATTTGTTCTTGAAACTTTTCAAGACAATTGAGACTCCCACTGACCTCTTGACATATATGATTCTCTTGTCAGGAACCTTTCCTAGACAAAACAAATATTCAAGAGTTAGTATAGTTCTTATCAAGACAAAACACTTCACATAATTGGTCCTAGTTGGTCTTTGTCTTATCCAAGACAGCACAACTTACCAATTTCAAATGTGCAAGTATAAGAAAACCTTTTCCAAACTCCACATTTGATGAGTGTTATAAACCTACTTAAGACTTGTCACTCAATTCACAATCTTGGAATATAACTCTAAGACTTGATATTGGAACGAAGTATGATTGACTTCTTGATTTTAACCATTTCTACAATTCTCGATTCCTCTTCTTAGACATACAAATGCACTAAGACTCACTTGGAGGATCAATTGAGATATGGTTCTCAATCATTAAGACTTATCATAAAACACAATAAAAGGTACTCTCCCTTCTTCTTAGAATAGAGAAACTTTTATCTTTCTGCCTACTTGATTCTTCTTATTCGTTCTGCTATTGATTGAAACTCTTTCAATCAACTCCGAATTATACTTAATCTTATAAGTATAACCATATTTACTAAACTTTAGTAAATCATGACGAATATCTTTATCACTCTTGTGGTGGACTTGATCAATGCACAACCTAGTGTACTCGATCTCCTAGTCCTTCTCTTGACACTTTGTCAAAGACTTAGTCTAATTTCCAAATATGAAGTTTCTCATTCATCACGCAACCAAGTTGCATGATTCCAAGTTTCTGTCCAACTGAAACTTGGGCGATGAGAATCTTCCCTTATTTGGCAAATTCTCGACATTTCCACAAATAACATAATTAAGAATCAAATCCATTATTGCTAACAATAGAAACAATCAAACATCAATTTTTCATACACACCATTGCAAGGATAAATAAATAAGACAAAATCAAAATTTATTTTATTGCGGAAAAAATTGTCCTTACAATGCAATTCAACTGAAAAACTATGCTATTACATATTTCATATCAATCTATCCTAACTCTAGAGTAGCAGCTCAAAAATCTGATCCTCGAGTCCATGCGACCGACGTCGATCAGAGTTGGAGTTCCAGGTCGACGATATGGTACTACTGAAGGTCTCACCCTGGAAGGGTGTGATATGCTAGGGTGAAGTTGGGTCCCCGATATATTAGATTGTCCCGTGTGATCACTAGGGTAGGTAGGGTGGCCTACCGGTTGGATTTATCGAGTGAACTCAGCTAGATCCACAACACTTTCCATGTTTCGCAGTTATGGAAGTGCGTGTTGGACGACGAGGCAGCGGTCCCTTTAGATGATATTCAAGTCGATGAGCGCCCGAATTATATTAAGAGGCCGGTAGCGTTGGTGGAGAGAAAGATGCAGGTCTTACACAACAAGGAGATACCTTTGGTAAAGGTTCAGTGACAGCATATGCAGGGTTCCAAATGGACATGGGAGCCCGAGTCAGAGATGCGGGAGAATTACCCAGAGTTGTTCACAATAATGGACTTCGAGGATGAAGTCTGTTTCAAGTGGGGGAGAATTGTAACACTCGGTTCAGGTGCACATTATTATTATTAATGAGTTAAAAGTTTTCGATTTTGGCCCTTCTCACGACGTGAGGAATGCTTGTCACGTCCTGAGGAGTAATTTGGACGCGCGCATTATTTTCAGGCTTACGACGTGAGCAATCCAATGCTCACAACGCGAGAGCAGTCTGACGACCAAAAACCCTAATTTTCGGTATTTAAAGGAAAAAGGGGGCTAGGGTTGTTCACCCTCTGCCTCCCTCAAACTCTAAGACCCAAATAACCCTGAGATTTATCATCCTTGAAGTTCTTAACCATTTTGGTGCCATTTCTAGCTTAAAGAAGGCGAGAAGACGAGGAAAGGAGTAATCTAGTGGTGGAGTGGACAAGTAGCAACATTATCATCACCTCTTCTTGCTGTTGGACCTTTGTAAGTAGCAAAGATCCAAAATTTATTACATTTCATGGGTAGATCTAGGATTTTGTCCAATTTTCTTCATGTTTAGCATGCTTGACTGAAGTAAATCCATAAAGTTAGCAACTTTATGGATTCTAAGATTTCCTTGATCATCATATTGTTCAGATCTGGAAGTTGGTGAGGTATAAGAGGCATACATGAGAGTTTGAAGCATATTTCTTCACTTTTGACCTAGAATGGGTTGGACCATGCTTGGTGCAAGCATGGCTATAAAGGAAACATTTTTATGGACTTTAGGAGTCCCCTGTAACTTCTGGATGAAATGGATTCGAGGAATTAATGGAATAAGGACTTAAAATGGTGACGTTTAGCTCCATACGATGCTCACGATGTGAGATTTGAATAAGCCCCGCTTTCTGTTAAGATCCTTGGAGCTCACGACATGAGAGTGTGTGCCTATGTCGTGATGTCAGCTCAGGTGATTTCTTTGACTGAGTTGGCTAGGTTAGGTCGAGTCGAGTTGGAATCGAATCGAGTGGACTATCACGACGTGACGAAGAGATGGTCACGATGTGAAGACGGATATTTGGCATTAAGGGCTGTTGACTTTGACCATGATTTTTGACCAAGTTCGACCTAAGGGTATTTTGGGTATTTTGGATTGTGTTTGAGAATTGGTCACTTTTGATGGATATGACGGGTAGAGCTGAGATTCGGAGCCGAGACCTTATCAGCTATCATTTAGACTGTAGGGTGAGTTCCTCACTATTCTTGTGGGTCGAAGGCACCAATGTCGGCCCCTTTAGTTATATATCCTAGTATATATATGTTGCTATAAAATAGTGATCTTTAAATCTGCATGCTAGTCTTTTATCTGGTTATATGATTATTTGTTGTTGGATATATGTTATTTGTTACGTATATGTCGACATGGTATGGTGGGGTTGAGACTGTACTGCTTTGACTGAAAGTCAACAGACCGGGGCATTCCAACCGGAAGGTTGTGGGTTGGGGGTAATCCAACCAAGAAGTTGTGGACCTGTTATGTATTGGGCAAGCCAACCGAAAGGTTGTGGGCCGGGGCATTCCAACCAAAAGGAGGTTATGGACCCGTTATTTGTTTGATTATATGTATGTGTGGTGGTACTTTGGGGGGACTCAATAAGTTTTGGCTTACAATTTTAGTTTATGGCTTCAGGAACTTCCGAGAATCGTGGGAAGGCGAAGGCGTGATCGTACACAGCTTCCTGTTTTATGTATCTGGGTCTTGGGGAAAACTCTGATTTGAAATAATGTGTTTGAAGCAATGACTATTTTGTAAACAATGTTTTTTTTTTAAAAAGATTTTGTAAACAATGTTGATGAATGATTGATTTTGAAAATTGTAAATTTATTATGCTTTTTGGAATGTTAAAATGGAATTAACCTATTTTTCCGCCCCAATAATATTGTGCTACTATACCTTTTATAGTGGCCCTGCGTCTAATAATATTGTTCTACAATAGCCTCATGAATACAAACTTTAATAACGAATCCATGTACTAAAATGGGCAATTCTATATATATATATATATATATATATATATATATATATATATATATATATATATATATATATATATATATATATAGAGAGAGAGGAGGGTTCAATTGAGAAAAAAAGGTTGAGAATGGGGGAACCATTCTCAGCCAATCATTTAATGAAATAATCCAAATACATTAATGAGCGGTGGCAAATTTGTCTTGGACTCCATCAATATCTTCGTCTCTAATAGCATCAAGTGAATATACTATGTAATATTCATAAGTGAATGCATCGTCTAATATTTAAATATGGTTATACTATGTTTATTATATGCTATATTCATATATGAATGATACTTAAAGAGGTATAGTAGCACAATATTATTGGAAAACATGTTTTGTTGGAAAACACATGTCTATTCCTTTCCCATTTCCGCTTGTACGACGGAGGTTTTTGCGGCAAAAATAAATGAGTGGCTGAGAATGATTCCCCCATTCTCAACCTTTTTTATTTTCTCAATTGAACTTATATATATATATATATATATATATATATATATATATATATATATATTATATATATATATATATATATATATATATATATATATATATATCATGTATAACTTAATTTTTAAATATCACATGTATCCTTTTCAAGCTTTCAATATCATATCTATCTAAATCATTATTTTATATATTTCATTATAATTTTAAATCTTTATTTTTGTTAACTAGTATATCCTTCTAAAATTTGTTTCCTTAAATAGTAGTAAAAATCTATTAACTTAAATAACCGATTACGAGAATTCCAAAGATATCAATTTCTAAGTGGAATTCCCGTTAATACAACGAGTTATTGAATTTGAAAGATATGTAGCAAAATCTAAAAAAAAAAATGATTAAAGTGAAATTACATCAGACCCACCGCCGAACATCATCCATTGGTGATAAGGTGGTGGGTTTTAGTGTATTCTTGATGCCACAGCAAAAGCGGCTTACACCCCATGCTTTAGATCTTACAAATTTATTAAAGCTCAAATCAACATAACAATATAGTCGATTTAATTTTGTTTTATATTATAATGATTTTGATGTATAAAAATGATTATAAAATATTAAAAAGAAAAGATTTTGACAAATATGATGTTTTTAATGTTTATAAAGGATAAATATAATATTCAAAAATTAAGTTGGCCAAATAGACAAATATGATATTTTGTCATGAAATCCTCCATAAAAGATTCAAACGCCATCAAGAGCAATAAACATCAAGAAATAACAATCAAAGAATCCGCAATCCATTATGTAACATCATCTAAATACAACAATATGAACAAATTTTTGGAAGATTTATGTATACCCACGAATGTTGTCCAAGTGCATCTATATATAATATTCGTTCTTTTGTATATCAAGAATAACCAAAACATCTTTACACCATAGAAGCAAAGTTTACAAGTGTTGAAGGCTTGAAATCTTTTCGATCTTTAAATAATCAAGAAGTCTTCAAGTGTTGCCAGAGTTTTTAGTTGATGACTAAGAGAAGCAATTGTCTTCTGACATTCCGCAAATTTAGTACCAGCCATTGCTAATTCAGTATCCTACACAACGCATAACAAATAAAGTAAGAGAAAGATTTTAGTGTTCATATAATTTGAAGTTGTTCATAAAAAAATGAAATAAACTAACCTGTTTTACCCGAAGCTGTGTGTTTTGGATTGCTGCTTTTGGGTACTGATTCTGGTGTTGCAATCTTAAAATCTCGCCTTCTAATTCCCGACATTTGGTTTCCATCTTCCCCGATAAAGCACGCTCCTTTCCGACTTCCGCTTCCAAAGAACCAACCTTCGGAATCAACGATTCCAATTCCGCTTTTAATGTTTCAATCTGTGATTCCGCCTTGTTTTTCTTCGTGTAAGCATCCTCGATTCGTGATTCGGCTTCTCTTCGTTCGCGGCGTACGGTATCTAGTTGACTTTTCAATTCCGCCACCTCTGATTCCAATTCCAAGGTACGTATGTTTCCCGTGTACTCATTTTCAAGTTGTAATCTTGATATTTCCATTTCTAGCTCCTGACATTTGGCTTCCATCTTCCCTGATAAAGCACGTTCCTTTTCGACCTTTGTTTCAAACGACTCGACCTTCGGAATCAACGATTCCAATTCCGCTTCTAACTTTTTAAACTTTGATTCCGCCTCGTTTTTCTTGGCGTACGCATCCCCGAGTCGTGATTCCATTTGACTTTTCAACTCCACCACCTCCGATTCCGATCTTTTTACCCTCTCGTGTAACACCTCGACTATTCCTTTCGTTGATTCCAGTTCTTTCTCAGTTGTTTCTCTTGCATCATTTGAAGAAACCAACGAAGCTTCCATCTCCCTTAACTTCAATTCAGCCTCTTTAAGTTGATTTCTTGATTTCTCAAGAGCCTTTTCACGCTCCTTCAACTTGATCTCAAGATTCTTTTTTTCCGTTTCTACCCTTTTCAAAATCTCTTTGATTTCAGACGTTTGATCAATCGTTTGTACCGAATCCCTCGGATCGACCTTAGGTAACCCCACGAGTTTCTCCATCTCAAGAAAGTCGTCCATGAGATTAATCTCTATCGAAGGGGCATTTCGGTCATTTTCAACAACCGATAGGCTGCGATCATTTGCCACTAATGCTTTCCGAAGGGCAGTGTTTAGCTTACGGCATTCCGATTCCAGTTTAGTCACTTTCCTTACACTTTCTAAATGCAACTTACTAGCTGATTCCGCAGCTTGATTGCTCAATTCCCTCTCGATTAACCTAATTTCAAGCTCTTCTGCCATGGAAGCAAGCTCAAGTTTCATAGCCGAGTTTTCTTTCTCGAGTTTTTGGATCAAAAAAGGGTCACCTTTTTTGATGGAGCGGAATTCAGCGAGCTGGTTTTCGAGTTGGGACTTTGTTATTTGCCATTCTGAAGTTTTCTTTTCAATAATTTCGGTTATTTTTTTATCTTTTTCTTCTCTTGTTTGTCGAAGTTGTCTTAAACATTCTTTTAGGGCTCCATCAAGCTGACAAACTCGATCTTCTAAGGTTGAGTTTCTAAGTGTTAAAACCTCGATTTGTTGCCTCAAACCTAACACTTCATTCTCAGCTTTCTCCCATCCTATATTAGAAAGAAAAAAAAAAGGTTAAATGAAGATAAAGATCAATCGTAATATTTTTAAGTAGAGGCTGCTATTTCAACAGATTTGCTTAAAATTTGTCGATTTGGGTTGTATTTTAGGGTTAAATGCAAGAAATAGAAATGTACTTTCATTGATTAGTGTATTATAGATTTATAGCATACTACTTTCGTTTGTTCTTATTACAACATTGTAGTTTGAAAATCAACCAAATTACAGAAATGTCATCCAGATACAAAATAATTCACTATTATGACAGGGTGAATTTTTTAATGTCATAATAAGAAAAAAAATGAAAGTATAATGCTATAAGTTTGTTGATTTTAAAAGTATAATGTCTTAACTACAAAAAAAATGGAACTGCAATGTTGTAATAGAAGAAATGAAAGTAGAATGCTATAATACAGAAACAAATGAAAGTATATTGTTGTTTCTTACATTTATCCCTATATTTTATCTCCAACTAGTCAAATGGGCAAGATAAAGAAAATAGGTAAAAACCCGGTCAAATGGGTCAGGTCTAAAGCCTCCCAAACTGTAATCTTAAGTTATATAGACTTCTAGTCAGCTATTTGTTCATCTTGAACAACAACAAGAGGTACATTTGATTTTCAAGATCAAAAGATCTGATTGTCAGCTTCAAATTTGGAGTTAATGCTTCAAACTTTTCAATAAAATTTGATAGCTACCTAGCCTACATTAAATCTTATAAGAAATCACTAAAAATTTGATAACCCGCTTTTAAAGTGGATTCGGCTACTATATTAACAATTTGCACAAAACAAAAGAGAGGTATTGTTTGACTTTTGAGATCAAAAGAACTAACTTATAACTTGAATTTGGAAATAATTCTTCAACTTTTCGAAAAAAATCAGATAGCTACCATAAACTTTGTAACATACACAAAAAAATGGGAAATTTTATGGTGTCAAAATGAGTAATAAATTCCATTTCAAGTTCAAAGTTCCAAAATTAGGTCGTTGACCTTAACGTATGACAAGACTGGAATAGACAAGACTGGACTTGACAAACTTTCTAGGCTACTCTTGATGATGAGAATGATGAGGGCATTCATGTCTTTTGCACAAAAGGGAGCAGGGCATAATGGTCAAATGGTGTTGTTGGAACGCATAAAGTAGGTAATAGTTTTAGATACCTTCAACTGCTTCCTCTGCTACTTTTGAGTGCTGTTTGACCAAGTCTTCCTTGATACTGATATTCACAAGAGCTGCTGATAGTTTCTGGGATAAAGTCTTGACACCACCCTCAAGTTCTTCCTGTGGTACTTCAGACTTTGATGTGACTTCGGGTGACAAGGAACTTTGATTTGAATATATCTTTTGAAGATTCAAAAACAGAAAAAGTATAAGATTTTAACCAACACTTGACAAAGCAGAAATCAAGGAAGAAAAATATAACAAAACCAAGATATCATAATTGGTCTATTTCAACAAGATTTCTGAGGCAACCATATTTCTATAATTGACCACATAGAATTCAAATTGCAGGGGCATTAATTAATCTTGAATTGTCTAAGAACAAAGAATACACGCATTATCTTATTTCTGTTGCAAAAATTAACACAATTTTGACTTTGAAAGTCAAACACGAACGTATTGCTTTCCAAATTCAAACTCGATTTGCAATTACAAACAGTTTTACATTCTTACTCAAATTGTTCAAATCTTCATCTTTTCTTGTATTCCGATGTAGTTATCTTAATTTCTAGTAAATTTCATAGTAATTTAGGATTTATATGTAATGTGTTTGACTGTAAAAGTTTAACTATAACATGAAGGAGTGTAAAATAGATGAGGATCGAAGTTGTACCATCATCTACGATACTTGTACAGATTACTTGCAACAATTGTGTTCATGAGATGAAAATGAGGACACGATTCATGAGTTGAAAATACCTGATCATCGAAAAATCGCTCAGAATGAGATGAAACAGATCCTCCAGAGCTTTCAGTTTCTCCCGGGCTTTTCTCTGACGACCTTCTCCGCCATAACCAGCTCCGGCGATCCATCTTTTCCGGCAACAGATTGAAAACCAAACACTAATACCCCACCACACTCACCCTCACACTTCATCAACAATTTCACCAATCCTAATCATTAAAAACCAAACTTTCTCACTTAACGATTGGCACCCAGTACACAATACCGGATTACAATCAAAACCCACAATCCGAAACCTCTTCAAGCCAAATATCGAGATGAATGTGAAACAGTAGCGAGAACAAGATTAGGGTTTGTGGATTGACAAAATCGGGAAATCCGTAAGATTTTATATAAGTTTTACTAAATTGGGATGGGAAATTCCAAACTAAACTTAATTCACACAAAACCCACAACCGAAAAGCTAGCAAAATTGAATTGGAAGCAAGAAGAACGTATATATTTTTAACAGAACTACAGAATGGGTTGCTCAAATCGGTTGATTTTGAAGCTTTGCTTAGAATTCACTCACCATACCAATATGTAAATGCATCAAATAGCAGTAGATTCACATGAAGAAAGCTGATCTAAAAAAAGAAGGGTGAGGTTAGTTTAGAACAGGTGTGTATGTGTGGGTAGTAGTTTGCTTGGAACCCACAACTTTGACAAACAAGCCTGTGAATTATTCTGTAAGATGTGATTGCACGCCTTGTTGTTGTGGGGTGTGCGAGAGCACATGCATTGCAGGTGCTAAAATTGACAGAGATGAAAGAAAGTTGACACCCATTATTTGCTTTTTTTCCCATTCATATTTCCTTTTTGCGTTCCAGTTAATTATTCTCTGAAACTAATCATCACTTGTGAGGTTTAACAATAACATTTCATGTGACCACACCGACTATCATTTTCGGAAAAATTGCATTGTTGAAATGCTTATAGATAATGAAGAGTTCGTATTTAAATTATATATTTTTTAGAAGGGCACTTTACTCCAAAAGTAGAACTTATTGAAAAATATTTAATCAGTTAATTAATCGAATACAATATACTAACATTTAGAGATAAATACGAACTAATACAAATCTTTAAACTTGTTCTACGATTTAGCTAAAAAATAAATAAATAACTCTAATAGCCACCATTTTCATAGGAACTAGAGAAAATTCCCTACGAAAACAAAAAATGTAGTATTTAGCCATTTTCACAAGGTTTTTGTATTTCCACAATGGGCCTTGTGAAAATGAAGATGCCCATATTTATTTTTTTCCAAAATAAGAACCTAAATTTTTCATTTTTTGAACTTTATTTTTTGAAAATTCAAATTAAAATTCTATATATTCATTCTCAAACACTTAGATGAGAAACTTAATCCTAAATACAGATCTGAGTTCAAAGTTCATATTTGAATGTTTCGATTCCAAGTTCATACAATAGGTTTTCCGGTCGACCATTGTTGGTGATTTTAGTGTTACCATGTCATTTTAAGTAACTGGAACTGACATGCGAGCTAAGGGGCTTCATAATTTGTACGCTAATATATGTACGGGGTTGTGCGGAGTGCACGCATTAATAAGATCGAATTAGAAGCCGGTTCGACGACTAGTCGGGGGTCCGGGGGCAGCGCCCCTGGGTCCGGGGTTTCCAAAGGGGCAGTGCCCCCGCGGGGTTTTGGTAACCCTAATCCGGATTATCCTGACTTGCTTCCAAAGCAACTAATGACGGCCCAACCCTAATGAAACCCTAATCTCGTTTAATATATAAACGGTTCTTCCTCTTCAGAAGAAGATTACGAATTTTAGCTCTCGTTTTCATCAAACTCTCACAGAATCTCTCTAGCAAATTGGCTTACGATTTCTGTGCCGAGAAGCGTAAGTGTCCACTTAGATTATCCTGGGCTGAATTTCTTGCAACCCAGGCATAAGGTAGAAATATCAGTTCGGAAAGTGTTCTCACGATCCAAGTTCGTATCCAGATCTCCACTATAAACCCTAATATATCTTACAACCACTATGGCTCCTCGTTGCATGAAAATAAAGAGAGGGTTTGTCTTTTGGACAAAATGACAAGACACCAAAGTACATCACATATATCTTTTGACCGACTCCTAACCAGAACCCAAGATTTAAGACCTAAACACTTTACCTCCCATTGATTCCAAGATCATACATTGTGCTTATCATGATACGAAAAAATGAATAAAATAAAAAATGAAATAAAACAAATAATCAAAAGAACATCTGAGCAAACAAGTTTTCACAAAAAATATGAATAGGATTGCGATTAGTGATACAAAGACATCTGTAGGTGTCTTCTTGATCATGTGGCCATGGTCAGATACCAAACCGTGTAATTCTGAAAAAAAGTAGGAAATTGTTGGGCGAGAAAAATAGATTTCAAAATGTTGTATTCTTCACGGAGACCGGATATCACGAGCATGACGAGGTCTTTTTCCTTGATTGGTTCTCCAATATTAGACAAAGCATCCGAGTATTCTTGTGCTTTAGTAAGATAGGCAGAAACAGTCTCATCAGCCTTCATCTCAATTTTTAACAATTGAGTTTTGAGTGTATATTCACGGGATGATGTGTGGGGTCCATAAGCACGTTGAAGTGAAGTCCAGAGATCACGAGAGGTGACTCCCTGAACATGTTTGAAGGATGCTTCAGATATAGTAGACAGAATTAACATTCTGATGTGGGCGTCGTTGGAGACCCATGCGGCATGACTATGGTTAGGTTGTTGTTTAGTTTTCGGAGCTTCACCTTCCTTGTCGAAGGATAAGGTTGTAGCAATAGCCAAAGGACATGGAATAGACCCATCAACGTAACCAAATAACCTGTTTGTAACCAAGCAGGCTTGAAGCATAGTTTTCCGATACCCATAATTTGTAGGAGAAAGGGTAAAGCCAAATTTGTGTGAGTTTTGAATTGTCTTTTATTTTGTAGAGAAAGAGATAATAGTGTTGGCCATTGTATAGCATGAGAAGGAAGCTGGGAAAAAAAAGTTAGGAAGTCGGCAATTAGGGTTAGTGGGATAACCTTGCTCTGATACTGTCACACCCCAAAACCGGAACGGCGGAAACGTTCTGGGGCAGAGGACGTCATGTTTAGTATCACAAGACATGCATAATAGTAAGCAAGTAATAAACAACCATTTCATTAGAAAGAAAGTGTTTACAAAATATGCGATTCTCATAATATAGAATACATAGCAAATAACAAAAAGACATGAAGCTATACTGCTCCATCTTCTAAATTCCCAGAGCGCGTACCTGTCTACTGGTCTCCTGAGAATACAAGTTATTTTGAAAGCGTAGATCAGCATTTAAGCTGGTGAGTTCATAAGATTTTAGTGATGTAATGTAAGTTGTAGAAAGTTGTAGTAAGTGGTAGTAAGTTTGTAAGTTCTGTTTAGAAAAGTTTGCATGTTCCTCCAGAAAATCCTATATTTCCTGCTTTGCTGAAAGATAAGTAAAAATGACTCTACAGTCCTTTCTATGAGTGTTAAATGGATACAAGTTATATAAAACCCAGAGTAAACAAACAATCGATTGTGTGTATCTGCCCTAAGCCCACAACCAAACAAGGAACAGGAAATAAGGCGGAAGGCACACATCCCATTGTTTGTTAGATCATCGTTGTATATAACCCTGGCGTATTCACTCGGTACTCACGGAGTTAACTGTAATAGTTCCTTTATATTTGATGAAAAGATTCTTTAAGGAAACCCTTATTTATTATAATAAAAATGGTAACCACAGTGGTTCCTTCTATAATCACTTAGTTTATACTAGCTATATATAATCTAATATCGAAAAGATTGTTAATTGTGTGAATCTGCCCTAAGCCCACAACCAAACAAGGAATAGGGAATGAGGCGGAAAGCACACATCCAACTACTTGTCGGATATTAATTATATATAACCCTGGTGTATAAACTAAGGTATTATAAAATTAACCACCTAAGGTCCTTTAAGTTATACTAGTTTAATAAAATGGATTAAACCCTTTACTGGTAAGTTTCTAGTTTTGTATATCAAAAGTTCTATTTGAAAAGTATGTTTTGTACTAGAAAGCTGTGCATTGAATTAATGTCCTATGACCTGGGCCATACCTGGTACCCCTTATGATTACTTGGTGTATACGGAATATATATGAAGCTAAGATCGAATAAATAGTAGACTGGGTGAATATGCTCTAAGCCCACAACCAAACAAGGAACAGGAAATGAAGCGGAAAACACACATTCTACTACCTGTCGAATCTGGCTAATATGTATCCCTGGATGCATACACTAAGGAATCATAAAGTTAGCATTATAGTCCCCCTTTCTACTGAATGTACTAGACTCGACTGTTCTGTTTGTCGTTTGTAAATGTAAGTTTTCCCTAGTTTATAACTATCTTGACTCGAAAATAGTTTGCATTAACTTTCAAGTGGAACTGTCACAATATAAAAGTAATGGGAAATATAAGTACACAGTTGTCTCTTGAATTGACATCTTGACGTACTGGTTACCTTAAAACATGTTTGTTTTAGTAAGGTCATAATGTGAAGGCTAGTACCCATACTATACGCTCTCCCTGTCAAGAGATTCTGGGAACCAAACGCGACTGCAGCAAACAATTGCTAGCCGTGTAATTCACATTAAGGTTATATGATCATGTATACCCAATTTAACTATCACCTTTTGTTTAGAACAATGAGTTAGTGATTCATTGGTATAGTTAGATCTTGTAGTTGTCCCATGCTATAGCACCTTATTATGTTCGTTCTGTTATAGTATCTTGGTATGTTCTTTCTGTTGTCATGTATAGTGTATAGTATGTCTCTCTGTTGCATTGTATCTACCTCCTTGTTTCTCTTTATAGTATGTTCTAGCATCTAGTATGAACTGAACCTCTAAACTATACCCCTTATAGTTTACTAGTATTTTACTTGAACTGTTATTGAAAAGACTCATTTTTCTACTAAGTTATGCTTGTACTTTAAAAACGGAGTTTTGTTAAACTATAAAGTAACATAACTTTAAAGGAGTTTTTGAAATGTTTTGATCACTTATAAATGACATAAGCAATCTTTTGAAAGATGTTTATAACAAACAATTACACAATTAACATTGTGTTCAACTTGTATTCCCCCCTTTAAAACATTTAAAACAGTTTAAAAGATTCATTACGGGGTATGAACTCACCTTATGTGGGTGATTCAACGAATAAGTGCGTAAGGATGAGAAGTTCCACGAATGAAGTCCCGAGACACAACAAGTCCTAAATGACATATAATGACATATATTGGCATAAAAGTAGGGTTTAGAAGCAACCAAATGCAAGGAAACACCTTAAGGGACTAGGAAACATTTTGACCAAGTGCTAGAATCACATGTGATTCATCTAAGGGATGTTTAAGGTCATCATATGGTGTCTACGGCCATGGGTTTATGGCCATGGAGCTTTGGGCCGTAAAATCAAGGTAAAAGGTGCATAAGTGGGTGTTTGAATGATAGGGAAGCTTGAGGGACCATTGATCTACACAAGGATGAGCAAAACTAATTTATTGGAAGGTGTTGAGGTGTTTACGGCCACACCAAAAGTGTATGGCTGTAAACTCACTAAATGGTGTCCTTTTGGGTCTTAAAGGGAAGGGTTTTTCAAAGGTTCAAGTGTCTCAAAGGTTTGCTAGTGTATAGAAGTGTTTAGGGCTCAAATCTTGGCCATATTTAGGGTTTACGGCCAAGGGAGATGTTCTTTG